CTTCCACTGTTTCAAGGTTATTCATTTTAATTTTTAAGTGCAATGACATCATCAAGGTTATATTTTGTCAAAACATACACACTGTTATTGAAACTGACTGGATAATATGATGTATGATCAACTAGCTTTAAAGCATCTATACATTCAGTGGCCTGGGCAAGATTAGGCACTGTAACTTCATAAGCTAAAAGATCTTTATTCCAACCCACAGTTTCATAAAGCTGGTATTCAAAACAGTATAATGAACTGTTTATCACAAAAATGTTCTTTACAAGTCCAAAAATAGGAACTGTGCCATTTGCATTGGTGATTATTAGAGACCTTTCACTTATATATTTGTTCCCATTAAGAATAAGCCACTTTACTTTGACTCCATGTTGCATGCCATAAATCCCCAAAAAATCTCTCATCTTTTCGGAAATGTACTCCATATTTGTTACTTCAGAGACAGGACCCAATTCTTTTCCATGTGCAAAAATTGGATGATGAGTACCCATTTCATTTTGACAGCATTCAAAAAGCACATTATGGTTCACAAGTGACTTACAGACATTTTTGAAGTTCAGTTTAGATGACCACTGTTTAAAAAAACAGTGCTTTGATTCAAACCGCATGCACATGTGCCTTACTAAAGGCCCCAAATGAAGAATTTGAGCAGGGATATGCAGCATGTAATGTTGCTTAGGTATTACATTATTCTCATGAAAAAGTTGCTTAAACTTTTTCAAATGCTGTTCAATCATACTTTTCAGTTTTAACACACTCTGTACAGACAAAACAGGGGAAAAAAGTATCTGAACTATCTCAACTAAGTCCAAAACAAACTGAACATATTCATTTTTTTCTATAGTATTGAGCAGAAAAGGAATGATCTTCAACAATATCAACATTTGCCCTGAAGACTGTTTAAGTTTATTGTCATTCGATGCAAGGGTACTGACACTAATGGGGCATGGCTTGTCACGTATGTCTATGGGTGACAAAGGAAAACTTTGCATGGCTGAAATGAACACATCTAACTCCATCTCCCCAGACAGAACAAGATATTTTAACACGCACTTAATTTCCATTGGTGCAATACCCTCAAGAATGATATGCATTATATCCTGTGGAGTTTGCTGAATTAGGTCAAAGGCTGGGAAATCAATCAGCTTGCTCCTTCCGTTTATACCGTAGGTGGTTTTGAGAGAGGATTTCAAGAAGTCTGTGCTAGCTTTTTCTATTTCGCAGCACTGTTTAATATGATTTTCTATTGTCCTTTTATTAAAACTTTGTTCATTAAAATTAATTTGCATTTCCTCAAAGGTACATTCACAATGCCTACACTTACTATACGCAAAACCAACCCCTTCCTTGAAACCAGCAAGTTCATGTTGTGCAAGTGTGTCACCGCAAACTGAAACTACAGCACCAAATCAATCCATTCCACCCCTCTGTGTTTGGACTTGAACACCATTATATAGCAGCTTCAAGTCTTCCTCAATTCTTTGCAATACAAAATCAACACCACACTTGTCAATATCATCTGCTATTGCTATAGCCAGGAGTCTGATTGCCGCCAGTTTAGATCTAAACCTGGCATCTATGTTTCCTAAAGTATAATAAAACAAAAGTAATTTATTTACTGAAGCATGTGACCCAAGGGGATTGCATATCTCTATTTCATCAGAATACAAAATGATTTGTAAAGCAGAATGTTTCACTGAAAATAGTGGATGGGATTTAAAAAAGTTCCCATCAATAATGTCATACAAAACCCCATTTTTGTGGCAACTCTGTGGTGAGGTGTACAACATATCAAAAATCATGGAATTGGACAGCAACTGTTCAAGACTCTTAATAAGAGGTATATAGTAAAAACTTCTGTTTTTGATTGCAAGAACTCTTGATTTTCCTTTCTTAACTCTACAAACCTTTTGGGACATAACTACCTCCTCAGGTTTAACTGGGTTAAAAAGCCTCTGGATAGTACTGTCCTGAATGTATGTAGTAGCCATGGTGGAGAAAGGATCTTGGAAATTGTCCACTTCTGCCAATGCTGCCTGTTGCAGCTGCTCCATACTGTCTGAATGTCGTTCAAAGATCCTCTTCATGGACTCCCTCATGGTGCCGAAAAGAGCAGTTTGATACTGCTGAACTTCACAGACAATGTTACTGAAGGTCCTCTGAGACAGAAACAAGAAAGACGTATATAAGATGAATGCAGTTTGTTCAGTGTGAATTGTTAGTTCTTGCTGAAAATCCAAAAGTCAAAATAACATAAATTTTAAACAGACTTGAGTTTTGAGAAAGATAGAACAAAATGGTCTCAGGTCTCAATTTAGTGTACTTGTGAGTGCAATTCTGTCACAAAACATGGGATTGTGTGTGCCATAATATTGAGAGTATGAGAGAAAGATAGAGAGAGAGAGGGACAGACAGAGAGAGAGAGACAGAGAGAGAGAGAGAGTGAGAGAGACAAACAGGGACAGACACAGAGAGAGAGAGACAGACAGGGACAGACAGAGAGAGAGAGACAGAGAGAGAGAGTGAGAGAGACAGACAGGGACAGACAGAGAGAGAGAGAGAGACAGAGACAGAGAGAGAGTGAGAGAGACAAACAGGGACAGACAGAGAGAGAGAGACAGAGAGAGTGAGAGAGACAAACAGGGACAGACACAGAGAGAGAGACAGGGACAGTCACAGAGAGAGAGACAGGGACAGATAGAGAGACAGACACAGACATACACACAGAGACAGTCAGAAAGACAAACAAAGACAGAAACTCAAAATTATTCACTTCTTCACAAATTAATATTGAACAATATTAGTAAGTTGGGTTAGTGCAATACCTGGGACAGGTGACATCGTTCCCTCACATTGATAGTGAATGCAGCTGCATGTCTGAGAAGATTTTCACTTGATGCACTGGCTCCTTCCTGTAGATATAACAAACATTAAAATTAAATATAGACAAGTTCAGATCAAATGTTAGAATTTAAACTTTATCATTCACGGTTCCAACATTGCATCTTACCGTATTATCACTATGTGAAATCTGGATCTCTTCAAACTCTGGCCTTGGCATTTCATTTTGAATGACAGGTGCATTGACTTCACTGTCAGTCCTTTGTAATCCTCTTATTGTAGATGCACAGTCATAAAAAATTGGTATGTCAAAACGTTCACCTCCAACAGGTGATGGTTCAGATCCAGATGTTGTCAACCATGGAGTAGTTGGATTTCCAGTTGCAAGATACAGGGCATGGGTGCGCCGGATATGGTAGTAAAAAGAGTTGAAGACTCTGTATTCCTCCGTGCAACCATCAATTCCGCATATCACTTGGAAATCTAGGTTTCGGCTATGTGTTGTGTTAATATGGCTCAAAAGAGATTTCAGTGTTATGGCAACAAAAACAAAGCAAATCACACACCTCCAACAGGCCATGTTGTTAGGCCAAAAATGAAAAACAGGCGGCTTAAACAAAGACAAAAGATATTTAAGCAAAATGAAAATCTTCAGTAATGGCAAAGTCTAGTCTTGCAAGAACAGCAACATATGTTACTGAGCATAGAAAATGGCAGACAGAAAAAGATAGCAGTCCAAAGCAGAGACATAGTCTGTGCTTCCCCTCCAAAACCATAAATTGAACTCTTGGCGGCACATCCGTGAAAGAGGGCAATACCAAGTCTTAAGGGGGTGGGTTATACCAACACTGTCGTTAACTTGCATAGTAATATCTTTAAAAAGGGGATTACAACAGGCATAATATTTAATGTAGAATTTATAGTTCTACTATTACATTAGTATGCACATCATTTTCGCTTTTTATAAGCTTTAAACAGACTGCCATGTTCTGCACCTATTTCCCCCTCCTTGCCCTCATTTGGTTGCGTCTGTCGGAGTCCTGTATCGTTTGGCAGCAGAGAGAAGCAGCACGTGGACCGAACTCAGGTAATGAGACATGTTTTTATTAAATCTAGATTTTTTTTACAGTTTTGATTTACTGCACTCATTACAGCCTGGTGACCATGAATGTTTGTTTTCATCAATTCTAACAGCGCACCATGAGTTGTTAGCTGACTTAAAACATGCTAGCTTACTAGTTAGCTTGATGGTAATGAGGTTAAAAAATGATAGTTCCAGTCTAAATGGACAATTTTATATTTTCTGTTGATAAAACCATTAAAACATGAGAATTATTTTATTGAAATCCAGTTTAGTTTATGAAATTAAAGAACAGGAAAAAAACCATCTGCAAAGTAATGGCATAATCTATATGTAAATTTGTTAATGACATCATAACTTATATATTTATAAGCTAGCCCTTAGAACCCTACACCTCTGAACCAGCCGGTCAAAGCAGATGGTCTCTTGTCCTGATCCTGGTTCTGCTGGAGGTTTCTTCCTGTTAAAGGGAGTTTTTCTTTCCACTGTCTCCACTGTGCTTGCTCAGGATGGGAGACTGCAACAAAGACAAGATTCATCTTGTCTGCTGGATTCTTAGATAGAGAACTTTACTAACTGGCTTTTATGTGAATGTTCCTGTAAAGTCCCTGAGACAACTTTGTTGTGATTTGGTGCTACAGAAATAAACTGAATTGAATTAAAACTCTCAACTGTCCTGCTTACACTTTTCTTCTATATTAAAGAGTTAGGGGAAATAAAAGATTGAATTTACAGCTAAACAGAAAACGTTGTTTGAACCTCTGTATATCCGAAGACCATTTTTTTTACTGCTTTACACAAGAATCCGAACATGAGATTTAAGCCAGATTACAATATCTGACGGACTCATTCAAGTAAAATTAAATCTAGGAAATAAAAGTAATTCGCTCTCTGCCTGTATCAGTCTGTGTTGCACTTATGAGTCCTAAAGTCTTTTTAGATTCTGCAATATAAGACTTAAAACAACAATGTTTGGTAAACCTGTCAGTACAGCAACAAAAGGCTACAACCATTCAAACTATTTTTTTTACCACTGTATTTATTAACAGAAATGTATGAACATTTAATATGCAGGAATTAGATCTTGTGTGAATACATGGCACAATCATTTACATTAATTAGTGCACAATGATCGGGGGGTGGGAGGCGCACATACACAAATCCTATAGTCACCCCCTTCACTGGCCTCTGACTGAAGGGAGCCATGTGACGAACACAGACTTCAAGTTTAAAAGATTTTTCTTCATTTTTTATATAAAGAAACATGATCATTACTAAAAAATAAAATAAAAAAATCCTACTATTGTCACACGCCAGTTTTTATATACAGTCTAAAGACAGGAATTTCACACAAAGTAAAGAGAGAAACCTACCACAGTGCCAGGCTGTAAATGCAATAATACGTATGTACTGGTAATCCCACGTAACACAACAACTACATGTGCAGCTGATCCTCCTGCTTCATTTGAAGAAATTAATCAAAGCTGACTGGTGTTTTTTACTTTCTTTATTAGCTTATATTTCTTTTGAAGTTCATTGCACATCCTCTCAACAGAATGTCTAAGTGTGTGAAATAGATTAGCACAGCTTCTCTTGTTGACATCCCCGACTAAACTCAGTGTCCTGTTAGATAGTCCTGTGTAGAGTCTGAGGCAAACGAGTCAGCGTCCTCATTATCGGAGTCCTCACTGCTGTCATCAGCTGCAGGCTCTCCAGAGAGGGCGATGCGAGCGTAATCGTCCGTGTCGATGGATTTGCAGAAGTGAATGGCGTATTTGAGTTTCTCCTCCAGCACTTGTTTGCACGAGTACCTGGGCAACTTGAGCAGGAAGAAACACGTGTAGGACTCTGGCAGGAAATGGTCAGGAGGGATGTATTTGTCCAGCACCTGAACACAAACAGGAAAAATAAAATAAGCTTTACATCTACTGTTTCTTGATGAATCCTCAAAGAATTTCAGAGAAATTGAAATTATTGCAACAAATAAGATAACAGTTATTCCAAGGAGTGACAACCAATGCTGCACTGCAGTTCAGTAAAGGAAGCGGGGCTAATTGAGGGGCTTTATTAATTTTTGAAGTAGTGTTCAGGGTAAAAGTTCTAAACATTTTTTTCAACATAGACAGCTTTATGACCAACCTCCTAACCTAAAGAAACAGTGCAATAGATTGTTTACATTACAGTTTACAGAGTTTACATTCGACAGGAATGACGAGCTAATGGCTAGTTGTAGAAGAGCCAAAGTAGATTTCTGCCATCTTTAAGCAAATTCAATCTCTAAAAGTTCACTGCAGTTCTTGCAAATACAATGATACAAACCTGTACTTGCTGTCCAGTGAGAATTACAAAAATATTTAAACAGAAATATTGTTATATTCCTGCTGGATGTACCCTTAGCTGCATTGGAAATACTACAGCTAGCTGCTGCTACTAATTATACTTGCAAATAACTATAGAATTCCATGTACATAGTCATACACTGAGAAACTGACAAAAGTGAAGATATATGAATAGTCCGACATTTTTCAGTCAGGTCATCTGGACAGTTTCTTTTTTTGTGCTGAAACGTTTCGCCTTCGATCCGGAGGGCTTCGTTTCTTTTCAACTAGTTTGACACGACTGTCAACAAGGAAGAAGGCCAGCAATGGAGGAGGGGGCGTACCAAAGAGACCATCTTATCACAAGCAGAACTGGTTTGTTCCACTTTGGAATAAGCTGTTGGGGGAAGAATCAGTTTTGTTGTGTGTTTCCTTGACTGATGAAGCCTTCCGGATCGAAGGCGAAACGTTTCAGCACAAAAAAAGAAACTGTCCAGATGAACTGACTGAAAAATGTTGGATTGTATACTTGGATTATTGAGCATGGACTTTGTTATATATGAATAGTGTTTGCATGAATCATTATAAAATTTGGTGTAGGGGCAAGGCAGCCGACTCGGGACCCGAAGGTCCTGGGCTCGATCCCCGGTCACTGCACACCTCGTGGTGTCTCTGAGCAGGACACCTCATCCTCATTTGCTCCCCAGGCTGACGTTTTTGCCCCTCACAGCCAGTCATGTTTATGTTTGTTGTTCCTGCCAAACTCTGCCTGCTTATCAAGCTCATGCTCTACACCTGTTCGCCTCCCTCCAGTCACTCAGTCACTGCCAGATTCTCGAACCTTTCACAAGCAGTAGAAATCCAGCGTACCTGATCTCGTCTCTTGCCACGACTCCTTGCCTGTTTTTGACTCCTCGTCTTGCCTGAACCTTCTTGGATTTTTTCTGCTTATCTGCCCATGCTTTCTGACTCTGTGCCTTCCCCTTTGACCATGTCTTTGGATTACGATTCGGCTGTTTTCGGCTCTCTGCTTCAACGTGCTTGACCCCTGCAACGGCTTACGAACCACGACTCCGGATCTCCTTGTTCTGGACCTCAAGTCCTTTAATCTGCTCCGGTGCAGCAGCTCACTCTACAGGAGTGACATCACCAGCTTCCGTGTGACTAAAGCTTCAGCCTCTACACCAAGACAGAAGGTTAGTGAAAACCCCAATATTCACCTGCACCTCCTTATCCACGTCAAAGTCACTAACTCTTCTGTCTTGACAGATTGGACCCAGCCCAGGACCCAAACCTCCACCAGAGATTTCCCACCATTCACAATAAAACTGTTAAACCGCTCTTGGCCTTGGTGTTGTTTTGCTGATCCAAACCTGGTTCTTGTCACAGGCGCTTTCCATAGCTGTCCACTGATCCACCTGGTTGTGGATGGATTAAAAGTAGAGAGCCAATTTCATCTTTGTATGGTAACATACAATGATGACAATACATAACACTATTATTATTAATATTATTATTATCAGTACAATTTCTGGAGTTTAATTTACGGCAAGGATCCATTTTGGTCTTGGACTTGCTTGAAATACTGGTTAGCTTGTCAGCCTAGCTGGGCATTAAAGATTTCTCCAAACTAAGGTTGTTGAGTTATGTACAACAGGTAATAATAATAATAATAATAATAATAATAATGAATTTAATTTGTAACGCACTTTTCATTAACCAAAATCTCAGAGTACTACAGAGTGCAACTAAAATCAATGATAAAATCATGTGGAGGCAGAATAGGCTTGCTTAAAAAGAAAAGTCTTTAAGCCTTTTTTAAAGTCAGTCAATGATTGTGGAGCTCTCAGATAGTCAGGGAGGGAGTTCCAGAGGTGGGGGCAGCCACACAGAATGCCCGATCTCCCATGGTTCTTAATTTAGTTCGTGGAAGGTGGAGGAGATGACTGTTCTGTGATCGTAGGGACCGGGTGGATGAATATGGAGCAAGAAGGTCCTTCAGATAATCTGGTGAATTTCTGTATAAACACTGATGGTGATGAGAGCAATTCTGTATTGAATTCTGTAGGTGACAGGAAGCCAATGGAGGTTATGGAGAATGGGTGTAATATGTTCAAATTTACGAGCTCTCAATAAAATCCTGGCTGCACTGTTTTGAATATATTGAAGCTTCTGAAGGTTTTTGCCGGGTATTCCAGTAAATGGAGTTGCAGTAGTCGAGCCTGGAGGAGACAAAGGCATGGACGAGTTTCTCTGCATCAGCAAAAGTGAGAGCTGGGCGAAGTTTGGAGATATTTCGAAGATGGAAGAAACAGGTTTTAAACAGATGCTTAATGTGATTTTCAAATGTAAGATGAGAGTCCATTTTTATTCCAAGATTTGTAACAGAGGTGGTGAGGGGGATGTCTTGTCCAGAAAAAGAAATAGTCGTTATAGTTGATGTTTGAACCTGGTGAGGGGTGCCAATCAGTATGGCCTCAGTTTTGGAGCAGTTTAACTGAAGAAAGTTCTGATTCATCCATGCCCTTATCTCCTCCAGGCAGGTAGAGAGGGCAGTGAGTGAAAATGGAGATAACAATGGTGAAGATAATGCTCCAGTCCTGATGTAAAGCTGTGTATCATCGGCATAACAGTGAAAAGAAATGTTGTACTGATTAATAATTTGACCTAAAGGCAACATGTAAAGGGAAAATAGCAGGGGCCCTAAAACTGACCCTTGAGGGACACCACAGGAGACACAGACAGTCTGGGACTTGGCATTGCCAAGACTAACACATTCCAGCCTATTGGAGAGGAAAGATTTAAACCAGTCCAGGACAGTGTCACAGAGACCGACCTCCACATGAAGACGGTGGAGGAGGATACTATGGTCCACAGTGTCGAAAGCTGCAGTGAGGTCAAGGAGAACAAGGAGGGAGGGAGAACCAGTGTCAGCAGCCATGAGGACATCATTGGTGATCCTCAGCAGTGCGGTCTCAGTACTGTGAGCTGCACGGAAGCTAGACTGAAACTTCTCATACAGAGAGTGTTGTTGTAGGTGGATCTGCAGCTGAGCAGCAACTGCTTTTTCCAGCACTTTTGACAGAAATGGGAGGTGAGAAATTGGGCGGTAATTAGAAAGAATGTCTGGGTCCAAATTAGATTTTTTTCAGAAGAGGCCTAATGATGGCAGTTTCAAGGTCATTTTCACACCTGGTAGACTCAGTTCAGGACCAGTATTCATGACCTTTTGTTACATTTGAGCTGGTGCATTTGCATTCACACTGCACTGTGCAGTCGAGTCAACCTGTTGAACCAACCTGTTCCCCCGCTCGCCTGTGGGGGCGCTGCACCAAGAACTACTGAAAGAAATGACACAAAAACCTCTGAAGACACGTCTTCTTCTTCTTCTGTAAATAAAAATAAAAACGAAGTGGCATCAAGTTTTAGCAGTTTTAGGAGTTATATTTTGTCATTTTTCAAAAATGGACTCAGCATGAGCAGAAGATGAGTCAGAAGACCATGGAGAATATTGTTTTTCCACACAAGGCAGCTGACGGCTCCAAATAAGGTAAGAGCAATGTGTGTTTGTTTACCCTGCGGAGCGGGGCTCAGTCTGTTTACATTCACACTGTACTCGAACCGCGCTGGAGTTCGCTTCTACCGGACCGAGACCTAGGTTTTAGCCTGGGCCAGAGTTCGCCTTTTTGTTCCGTGACAGAGTTCGATGGCACGTTCACACCTCCCTAAACAAACCAGACTTTCTAAGAAAATGAGCTAGAGTTCGATTAAAGCGGACTAAACAGGGCTAGTGTGAATGCACCCTAAGAGGCAGTGGAACTTGACCAGATTGCAGTGACTTATTTATTATTTGTGTGATTAATGGGCTTATTGCAGAGTGATTGAATTTTATGAGAAACGAGGGGAAGGGATCCAGGGCGCAGGATGAAGGTTTCATTTTCTTGATGATGGTCTCCACTTCACTCAGAACAACCTCATCAAAGCAGTTCAGGGACCCAGAATGCAGACGGGTAGATGGCAGATGAAGATCAGGGAGGCTATGGAGCTGAGATCTAATGGAGTTAACTTTGTTTTTGAAAAATGAAAGGAACAGGTTGCATTTTTGAACAGAGTCCTCATGAGACTGTTTAATGGGATTAAGGAGATGATTTATTGTGGAGAAGAGTTGTTTAGAGTTTCCAGGGCAGTTGTTGATGATGTTGGAATAATATTTGGACCGTGCTTCTTTAAGAGAAAAGGCGTAGGCTTTCTGATGTTCTTTATATGCCTGCTGATGTACAGAGAGACCAGATGATTTTACACGTCTCTCAATAGCACGGCCAGCTGATTTCATCCTGCGCAGCTCAGCAGTGGACCAAGGGGCTGAACGGGAGAAAGACACCAGCCTTGCTTTAAAGGGAGCATGGAGGTCCAGAAGCTCCTGGAGAGATTGGTTGTAGTAATCCACAGAGTCATTTGCAGATGAATGATAGACAGCGGTCAGGGAGTGGAGATCAGAGGACAGAGAACCTCAGGGGAAATGTTTTTAAAGTCACGGAACTGGATAAGTCGTTTAGGATTTGGAGCAGAC